CAAGTTATCATCTCTTGAAATTTGTAAAATTCGAATTTTCGACGCCTTATATTTCCGAAACCGCAAGCTTTTTCAAATTTCTAAAAACCCAGAAAGGTAACGGGAAATTCCATAACATTAAAAAATGTAATTATTTTTCTTAAATCACGCAATTAATCCTTAAAATCGAGCATTATGTTAAGCCCTCCTCTTTAAATTAATTTTTGCTTTATTTCAAAAACTTTATCCTAAGTATATGCAATCCTAGAAATAGCTTCGTACATGAATGAAAATAATTTTAATAGTGTGGTAGATACACATTGATTGTTTTTCAAAGCAGTATTTTCACTTGTTGAAGGGAAAAGTGCTGCAATACACACCATTGGTTTGACCCAACTTTATTTACAATGCAACAATTAAATCACTTTATTTATTATGCTTTGAAAACATCTTTTTCTTCATGCATGTAGGCAGGAGTAAATTTACGCGTCAGATGGGATTATGATACAAAAAAAAAGCAACATTTTTTAATTCAATCACTGCGCTACGTTTCTAAATTTCTCTATAATATTTGAGTCAAAATGAAATCATAAAATTTTATTTAAGATTATTGTATAATTAGTATATTTATTTATTTATTTATTTATGTAATTACGATTTACAAATGTGTTTTTCTTTTTTTTTTTGTTTTTCAATTATATTTTGAAACTTTTAATATATACAGACTTCAAAAGTACAGTAAAACGGTATAAATGCACAATTCAGCTTATAACTTCTAATTGCTGAATAATGTGGTAATACAGTATTACTGCAATTTCGAAGTCATGGATAGTTTAAATTAAAAATACTGGAAACTGCTGCTCTTTTAAGCTTTTCTTAGCTCTTTATATACTCAATAATTTCTATTTCTCTGTTTCTCGAATGATTTATATACATATACATACGCTACCATATATTACACATAAATATTTCATGGAGAAAATGTTCGAGTTCGTGAGTCGAAAAATTCGACTGTATTTATTTATGCAATAGATTATGATTAAAATAAACATTGTATATACACAAAAAAAAGAAAAAATTTAAAATGTAAATTAAAAATCTTGTTTATAAAATTTAATAAAACAAAGCAAAAAAAAAAATATTAAATAAAAAAAACATAAATAAAAATTTAACTATAATAAAAAACAAATTTAAATTAAACAGCAACCAAAATAACATCAACAAAAAACCAAAGTGTGCAAAAAAATTATAATTGAAAAAAAAAAAAAACAAAATTAAATTAAATTAAAAATTAAAGTTAAGATTAATTAATCCAATTAATTGAAAAGAAAAAAATTAATTAATTAATTAAAAAATAAACACAAAATGAAAAAAAAAAAAAAACAAAAATTGTATAAATAAAAACATAAAAAAAATTGAGTAAAGTATTCTTTTTGAAATTCGAAATAATTTAGAAAGAACGAAAACTAAAATAAACAGTAAAATTAAAAAAAAAAATAAGAAAAAAAACACAATAGAAAAATTTAACAAAAAAAAATAATGTTAAATGTTGCTTTTTGATTGTTGTATTTTATATTGTTATTTCTTTCTCTCTTGTTTAAAAAAAATTTTTTTGTTATCAAATTTTGTTTTTGTTAATTTTTGTTTTTTAACAGTTTTTTTTTCTTGTTATTATTAAATAGATAAAAATAGTTCCCAAATAAAAAATTTAAAAAAAAAAACGCGAAAAATTACATTAAAAATTAATATTATTTTCTCTCTGGCCCTGCTTGTATTATACAAATCCTCCACCTTCTCCACTTTCAATATCCATAAAATTTTATTTTACATATACCTATGCACAGCCCCTGGCAAAATATGAGTCTTTCAACTTGAAAATGCGGCCCATCATTCTGCTTGCGAGAAAAAACTATATTCGATCGCGACTATCGAAATTTTTCAAAAAATTTTTAAGAACTTAATCATAGATAATAGACATAAGTACATAAAATTTCATTCAAATTTATTTTTTTGTCACAACAAAACAAACAATAAAGTCAGTTAAAAATGTCATTTCTTCTTGTAAGTAGGTAATGTAAGAAGGCTGTAGTGGCCCATACTCAACTAAAGTTTGCCTGGTTGCACACACATTTGTTCATATAAGAACGTTCTCCGATTGAAATCGTTCGAGAACCATATATGTATGTGATCCCTGCTTTGAAGGTCATGTCATGGCACCACAAAGTCTCCATTCACTTTTATAGTATACGGTTCTACAGAAAAAATTACACCCTTAGTTTCATATATATTATCCGTTATTAGTTTTTTAAATTCAAATTAATAAACTAAATTTGGAGATACAAAATGTCTTAGCATGATGATTGCTGAATTTGCTATATACATACATACATAGGTACATTATTATACGGAACTTGAAAAGTTTTTAATATAAAATTTACACTGAAAGCGCAATCTCTCAGAGTTGTATTTTAGTAATATTGTATAAAAAAAATATAAATTAAAAATTAATAAAGAGTAATATTTTCAGTTCACTTATTAAATAAATTTAAATGTGTACACATGTACCCGGAATAAGCCAAGTATGTATTATATAGGATTTTAGATTCTCATTTAGACAAAAATGGTCATAGTTAACGTCTCTTTTACAAAGACTTATTTTTTGTGTTTAGATAAAAAAATATAGACTTAAATACATTTCGTTTGCATTTTCATTTCTGCCACCTTTCTAACACCGCTCGTCTCTTCCTCCAAGAAAATATGCTTCACATACATATATATATATATAAGTTCAAACCACCTAATAGCTAAAAATCCATAAATCGTTTTTATATTAAAAATAGCAAAATAAAAATAAAAAAAAATAAGAAAATAAAAAATTCGTAAATTTTTTTTTGTGTTACTTCCAAAAATCTTGTTTAAACGGCTTATTTCATAAACCGTTAAATGAAATTTAAACTTAGAATTTTTATATTTTAAAAACAGATAAGTAAATAAGAAAAAAAAAAAACAAATAAAGAAACGAGAGAAACCAAAAAAAAGTTAAAAAATGAGAATTATAGATAAAAATTTAAACTAAAAAAGAAAAAAACAAAAAAATATTTTTAAATTTAATTATTAATTATTTTTTATTTATAACAAAACAAAAAAAAAATGTAAAATTACTTCAATTTGAGAAAGAAAAGAAAAATTACTATTTAAAAATGAAAAACAAAACGTTGTTTTATTAAGAATTGCCATTTTTTACTTTTAATATTTATATAGAACTTATATTAAGTTTGACCCAATTTTTATATATGAAGTAATTCAATCTGAGTATCCTTCTCTCAAAATAACTTTACTTAAGTGTTTTCATAATGTAACTCCTATAATGATTAATAAATATTGCTCTTGTAGTACATTCCTACGTAATTGAAATTTTGAAAAATATTTTTGCTAAAGGGATCACAAAAAGCACCTTTAACTTCTAAAATATCGTTAGAACTATCTCTTCTAATTTAACCTGAAAACGCGTTTGAAATTTTTCAAAAGATTTCTTCAAATATCTATTATTTATTGACAATCCGTGACTTCAATAATGCGCTTACGACGAAACTTTACAAAGTAATACATTCCAAAAAGTTTAATAAAAGGTCTTGACATTGTACACTTCTCCTAAATGCGTTCTCTACGTAGTAGATACACGTAAAATAAAAATAAATCGAGTATCGAAAAAATCGAGCATGCTATTCTTATACATGTCATATAAATGTTGTCTGAAATTACCAATTAATATTTTTAGCAATAGAGTGCTTGCTAGTTATTAAGTTTTTTTCCTAAAATGAACCATAAAAATGCTATGATATGGTAACGTTATATGTTATGTTTTCAAAGATGTTGTAACGTTTGTAAAAAATTAACATTTGCACAGAACTTTAGCAGTTCTTTTTACAATGTATTAATAGTGTACGTTTTCGCCCAAGAAACAGCTGGAGAATAACAGTTAAAAACGAGCTAAAAAGTGCAGGTTTTTCATGGCAAGACGCTTTGAACACCGCCCCAAACAGAGTTCGATGGAAAAGTCTTACTGAGGCCGTTTGCTCCCGAGTAGGAGATTAGCGGTTCATCATCATCATCAATAGTGTACTTAAACTTTGTATAAAGCATTATTGAAGTCAGGAATCTATTTTAAATTATTTATATTTCATACAATTTATTTGTAGTTTCTTTTTTCGCTTCCCAGCTCCTTCATTATATTGGGAGGCTACTTTGTGAAAAATTGTGCTGTCGGGCAATCATCTACTACTTTTTAAGAATACTTATTGCAGATAAAAAAAAACATAATTTTCCTGTGAATTTTAGTTAGTATTTAAAATTCTTCAGTCGCTAAGTTCTGAAATTTTCAATGATTTGACTGACCACGCATGCAGTAGTTATATTTTGACCATTTTTGATTGTTTTGATTTGAAAGGAAAACTCCAATTAATATGTAGTATCCCAGGAACTTGTTATAAATTATATTAGGTATACACATAATATGTGATGGTTTTATAAAAATTTTGGTTTGTCGAAATTTTTATAAACAAATCAAAATTTCTGAAAATGAAAGTAATTAAGACGAGATTTCTGATTTTGAGATTTATTTTTTCGATTTTTATTACATTTGATTTTTAATGTTTTTTATATCCATTTTAGTTATATGCGTTAAATTATTTTTATTTTGCATTTATTTTGTATTTTATTTCTCAATTTGCATTCTTTATACATTTAGAATCAGTTCTACAATTTTGGTTTGTTATATATATTCAAAAAAACGTTTTTTTTTTCTTTCAAAAATGCTATTATTTCGATTACATAATCATTTTGTGAGCTCTTACTTCATGCAAGAAGGTTCAGATAAAAGTTATACATGGAAATAGCGAAACTATATTCAATTGGATACTGTAAACATGATTGTAAACTGTTTAATACTTTATTTTTTTTTTTGTTGGGAACTTTGCTTGTAGTACAAGTAAAAATAATAGCTTATCATATTATACTTGTAGTTAGAATTTAAATAATTTTTGTTTTATTAATGTTTTTCAATTTCTAAAGTTAACATAGTTTTTACATTCATTTAATACAAAATAAAAGAAATAAATAAATGAAGGGGTTAGAAGAATAAGGAGTTCAGTGAAATTTTTTTCAAAAATCGTTTTTTGGCAGCTTTAGTCTTTTCAAAACATTACACATCTTTTACAAAAACCCGTTTTTCGAAATATGTATCAAGTTTTACGGTATTTAGACAATAAAAAAAAGAGTTAAGTACACATTTTAATCTTTTGTTTATTAAATGAAGGCGTTAGGGATCACTTAACATACACGTACAATATAAATGTTTTCAGATAAAATGAGAAAAAAGTTTATTTCATAAAGGGGTTAAGTACGCATTTGACATTTTCATCCACAAACAATTCAATAAAAAAAAAACAAAATATTAGCAAAACTGGTTATCATATTTTAGAAGATTAAAGTGTTACTAGTGTTTGTTAAGTGTTATGAGGGCTAAAATTTTGCTATTATTGTTAATATTTTACTATTATTGTTTAATTAAGAAACTGTAAGTCAAATTTCTTATAATATGGGAACAATAGAATCAAGAGGAAAGCAAATGGTAAAACCGGTTTTGGAACAAGAAAAAGAAAAGAAGAAATCTATGGACAACGTTCATACTGAAGAAGCTCAATTTAGTATGTACACTTCACTAATCTACGAGTATTAGTGAAGAAAATATTAAAAATTTAAAAGTACAGTTCATTTTCATTTCAAATGAACATAAATAGTTCTATCAAAATATAATCGGAAGGAAACCTGAACTATAAATACTAGTGAGATATTTGATGAAATTAACGAATTAACAGAAAATTATTTCACATTTTTGTTTTTGTTTATTAATTTTAGTACCCACATGCACAGGTAGATATTATTATATCTGAATTGAAAAAGTGCTTTATTTAGTAATTTAACAAATATTATGTATTGATATTATACATATTTAATATTTTAATACCTAGTATAATATGGTATTAAAATATATAATAAATAATATATTGTGAAACCAATATTACTTTTTTCTTTTTCAATTAATTTAAAAGAAAATTACATATTTTATTAAGTTTGTAAGGTTTATTATGAACAAATATGACGAACTTTTTTTGTTGTTATTTTCTAAATTAAATTTTGTTTTTTATTTTTTTAATATTTGGAAAAATAATAAATAAAAAAATAATAAATAAATAAGTTAAAAATAAAACAAAAATTCAATTAACGCTTTTTAATTCTTCAACAGTTTGTTTTTTGTAAATTTTATTTGTGTAAAATTTCTAAATTCCACTTTTGCCTTTTCACAAAAATTCACAAAAATTTGAAATTACCCTATTTGAAAGTACTTTAAGAACAATATAAGATCTAAAAAATAAAAATTCTATGTTTCAAATAGGTAAAAAGTTGCAACGTTATTAAAATCAGAATATAAAAATGCGTTTTTCTCGAAATATTGAAAATGTTACTTAACTCCTTCTTCTTCTAACCCCTTCAAAAGTTAACCGGCAGAACAAAATAGGAATATATTTTCATTTTATATTTTTTTTTTCTTTTTTTATACTTTTTATACTGTAATTTTTTTATAAATTTAACTGCATTATGCTGCTTTACTTGGACTAATTTTTGGTTTCTCTACAGTTGATTTTGAACCCTTTTGGGTTTCTTCAATTCCTTCATCTAATTTTTTAACTCGACATTTACTAACACAATCAGTAAAAGCTTTTACTTCTTCAGAGCATTTTAATGGTTCATGGCGATTAGCACGGAAACACGCAATTAATTGAATTTTTAAATCTTGTAATAAAGATAGTTGTTGACTGGGATATAATTGAGAAGTGGCAAATCTTTTTTTTACATCTTCGATTGTAGCACTGTATTCATCTTCCATTATTTTATTTGTTTTATTCAAATTTTGCTCTAATTGGCCCATCCGCTTTTTCCAATAAGCATCAATTTGTTGAAGCTCTTGAACTTTTTGTCGGCGAGCTTCAATCACTGACATAGAAGGATCGATGTACACAACCGGTGGCGATTGTGATGGTGTTGTTTGAGGTAATGGTTGTGATGGAATAGGTGTCGGATTTTGGATAACATTAGATTGCTCAGATGATGCAGATGCTGACTTTTTTGATTCTAATTTAAAAAAAAGTATATTTATAAATGTTATGTTATACAATATTAAGACTATTTAATATTAAATAATTATGATAAAATTTCAAGAAAGTGAAGATAATTTGATCATAGTTTTGATTGCACGTTAATTAACAATTTTACAGAGACAAAATACAGAAAAAAATAGAGATTGCGTGCATTTCAAAATTGTGTATAATTTAACTAATGAATAAAAGAACTATATGTGTAAAATTGTGTATAATTGTGCTCATGAATAAAAAACTACATACAAAATGTAAAGAAAGTCTTTTCAAAATGAAAAAATTTTAAAAAATTTACTTTCAGTCTTTAATAAGTTCCATGGCATGCATTGATTTTGATTTTTTTTTGTAAATGTCAGTTTATTAATCCTTTATAGAACATAATTGCGTTAAAATAATTTTCCAATGGAGAAACTACAAAAGAAAAGGAACAAAAACGAAGAAGTTCGACATATTACAATGTAAATAAAGTCTTTTCAAAATTAGTTTTTTTAATCTAATCTTCTTTCGCCTGCATATCCATTAGCTGGACGTAAGCGAATCACATGTTATAGTTTTACTGTTGCTGATGTTAGTTTTGAATTTTTAAGAAATTAAGAAATTTGGGAAACTACTTCTTTGAACTGGTCTCGATCTTCCACAATGCGCATCAACTCGCCAATATTTTGTATACCGGTCCAGTTCCGTATATTACGCAGCCAGGAAAGTTGTTTTCGACCAACGCCCTTTCTGCCTTCAATTTTGCCTTGAATTATAAGTTGCAAAAGTTGATATTTTTCTCCGCGCATGACATTTCCGAAATATGAAGTCTTTTTTTTTCTTTATATTCCTTAGTAGTTCCCTTGTTTTTTGGACTCTTTGAAGGACTTCATTATTTGAAATGTGTTCCGTCCATGATATTCGGAGCATTTTTCTGTATGACCACATTTCAAAAGCCTCCAATTTGTTCATCAACGGAGCTCCCAAAATCCAACATTCCGCACCATAAAGAAGAACTGACCAAACATAGCATTTCAGAAATCGCAGTCGCTTACTTGATCAACCAAGGATTGAAGATCATTCATATTGTCGGCTATTAGGGTTGTGTCGTCTGCATATCGAATGTTGTTTATGTATTTGCCATTCACTTTTATCCCTGTTGGCATTGTTTCGATTGCCTCTTGAAAAATCGCTTCGGCGTAGATGTTAAATAAAAGCGGTGATAGTATACAACCCTGTCGAACTCCTTTTTTTATTTCCACTTCGTTTGTGATACCATCTTTTGTTCTAACGTGTGCACTTTGATGCCAGTATAAATTTTGTATGCATCGCATGTCTTTCTCATCAATAAGCATATTAGCTAATATGTCCATTAATTTGTTATGATTGACATTGTCAAACGCTTTTTCATAATCGATGAAACACAAAAATACGTCTTTCCTAACATTGCGACAATTTTGTACCAAGACTTGAATACTGTTCAATCTTTGAATCCAAACTGGGTTGTACCCATATTTTTTTCACATTTCTTATAGATTCGATTATGTAGTATTTTCAAGAATATTTTTAAAGCGTGACTCATCAGGCTTATCAAACGATGTTCATTGCATGTTTTGGCATTGTTCTTTTTTGGCAATGGTATGAAGGTGGATTTTAGCCAATCTGTAGGGAATTGTCCACTATCGTAAATATGATTAAATAATTTTTCCAGAATCATCAATTTCTCATCATCTATAAGTTTTATTATTTCAACCGGTAAATCATCTGGTCCAGCCGCTTTGTTATCTTTAGATAATTGTATAGCTTTTCGAACTTCATCTCGTGTTATAGATGGTCCCGTAAGTTGGCTACTTGACGAGTTGTTATTCGAAATATCAAGTCTATTGTGATCTGAGAATATCTCTTTAATGTATTTTGCCCAGAAATCTTTTCTTTCTTCGCTATCAACAATTATTTGGTTTCTATGATTTACCAAAATAGATGGATTTGATTTACGATATTGTCCCGATATTTCCTTTATTTTTCTATGAAGGCTGAAATCGTTGTGTGTACTTTGTATTTGTTCGATTTGTTCGCATTCATTCTTTAGCCAATTTGCTTTTGCCTTCCGACATTCCTTTCTAATTACTTTTTGCATTCGACGATATTCTGAAATATTTTTATTTTTGTGTGTTCTTCTTTCATCCATTAGTGATAAAATTGCTGTTGTCATCCATCTTTGTTTTGGAACAGATTTCTTTGTTCCAAGAATGTTCTTAGATGTGTCATATATATGTGAAATGTTAGATTTGATTTCATCATTTTTCAATTTGCCTACATCTAATTTTGACTGTTGCCGATTTCTTATTATTCTTGCTAATTTGATTTTAACATTAGCCTGCAATAAGTTGTGGTCTGATGGAACGTCAGCCCCCGGGTAAGTAGAAACCTTCATTATAGAAGTAGCAAATCTTTTGTTTATTAAGATAAAATCAATTTGATTTCGCACGATATTTCCAGCATTATCTTGCGGCGATTTCCAGGTGTAAAGTCTTCTAGGTGGTAAACGAAACTACATATTTGTAACTTTGAGTTTAAATTCTTCACAGAACTCTATTAGACAGTTACCTCTATCATTTCTTGTTCCTAAGCCAAGTGGACCTACTGTATCATTGACTCTTCCGGTACCAAATTTTGCGTTGAAGTCCCCCATTATAATAGTCATTTCATGCGGTTTCGTAAATTTTAGTAAACTTTCTATTTCACAGTAAAACCCTTCAATCTCGTCATCATCTTTTTCTGCCGTTGGTGCGTATATTTGAATTACATTTAGTTCTACAGGTTTGGCGTTAATTTTTAATAGCATTGCTCTGTCTGAGAGTGGTATAAAGTTTGTTACACATTTGGCCAGATGTTCTGTGACTATTATACCGACACCATTCCGATGACTAGGAGAATTATTGCCAGAGTAGTAAAATTTTACGCCCTGTGCCGAACATTCACCACCGTTTGGCCACCATGTTTCGCAAATTCCCATAATATCTATTTTTAATCTTTGCATTTCCTGAATTGTGTTCGCAAATTTACCTGGTTCATACAAACTATTAACGTTCCAGGTACCTATTCTTAATCTATTTTTTGTTTTTCCTCCGGGTATTTGCAACAATTTGTTGTTTGGAGCCTGTAACGGATTTCCTCACACTAGTTGATCCTTGCTTGTAATATAGCATAATTTTAATTTCATCACAGAATATAACATCGTTGCAGTAACGTTCCAGTTCATCCTTATAAGTTTCGGCAAAACAAATATTATACCAATCGTTAAATTTGGAAAATTATCCGTAATGTTTTTGAGTTGTATATGTTGTCACGGGGTGTTGCACTTTTTTTTTAAAGATGGTCATATAGATAAGTAACAATACTAGACATTTTAAAAACGAACCTGGTAAACAAAGTCGAAAAATTTGATCTTGTTGGTTATTATAAATTTTATTGGTATAACCGCTTGTACCATAAATCTTATTTGGTAAGAAGCTGTTTGCTTCATGACTGCCCAAAAGTGTTCGAAAAACTCCCTCAAAGTCCAGACCTCAATCCAATTGAGAATTTTTGGGCCCACTTTGGATTTTAGTATACTTAAAATTTGGCCATAAATATACTAAAATCCAAAAGTGACCTTATAGAAGAATTGTCCAAAATTTCGGATTAAATTGATATGGAAAGATTGACTACTTCTATGATACGATGACTTTGGGCTGTTCCAAATCTACGGGCTACCGCATAAAGTATTAAATTTAACAATTGTAGCTGCATTTTATTTTTTTGCGTAATATTAGATTAAAAAAACTAATGTTGAAAAAACTTTATTTACATTGTAATATGTCGAACTTCTTCGTTTTTGTTCCTTTTCTTTTGTAGCTTCTCCATTAGAAAATTATTTGAACGCAATTATGTTCTATAAAGGATTAATACAAAAAAAAAAACATTTACAAAAGGACATTTACAAAAAAAAATCAAAATCAATGCATGCCATGGAACTTATTAAAGACTGAAAGTAAATTTTTTAAAATTTTTTCATTTTGAAAAGACTTTCCTTACATTTTGTATGTAAATATTAAGTCCATAGGATGGATAGAATTTAATGATTTGGTTTTAAATCATGAATTGTAGATAAAATTAAATTCAAAATTTCTTAAAAAATTATTCTGTGAATTAATTAAATAAAAATATTTCCTGTTTTTATGTTATTCCTAGTTGCATAATCAAATTTAGTTATCCATTTTTTAGTGGAATACTAACCTTTTGTCAAACCAATTTTAAGACGCTTTACAACATCTTCAGAAACTTCTACAACACCGATTGGCATCTGATTATCCATGTTTACTGAGCGCGGATGGCCTGAATGACTTACTCCCATATCAAAAAATTAATTCTTAAAATATTTACATTCAAATTTGAAAACTTTCCGCATACGAAAAATATTTTAATACAACACGGATTCAAAATAATGTTATCTGCCAAAAATAAGTTGTCAATTTTGTTGTTGTTGTTTTTATTACGACATTGACGTTAAACCCAGTAAACCACCCTTTAAAAAAATTAGTATGATCTCAGAGAAATTTTGTACCACAGTCGTGTCGATTGATTGTGTCAATCGAGAAAGTATATTAAATTTTTTACAAATATTTTTGTTTATTTTCAGTTTATTTCTAGTTAGTCTAACCATAAAATATTATTATAGAACAAATTTTTCTCATAAAACATTCTCTTGACCCTTTTTTAACTACTTAAATGTAGAAATTTAAAAAAATGAAAAAAATTAAAACTTTACCATTAATAAGATATTATACTTACATTATTTTATATCACTTGTAACGAATATTTTTCACAAAATATATGAAACTATTATATCTTTTTTTTAAATTATGTTGAAAACCGAACGAGACAAATTTTCCGCGACGAACTCTCAGAATTCATATAATAATACTCATATTTAAAGATTTCTACCCAGAATCATGCGAATAGAAAGAAACTGGTAGATTTTCTCAAATTTGAAAAAAAAACAAAAATCAAATTCAAAAAAAAAGTTTGTACTATTGGTTTTCTTGTAATGTAGCAAAAGTTCGCCAGCTGAGAACTGTTACTGGTCCGGGCCTGTATTTCTATTAGCCGTGATACATATTGAACAATTAATAAACTTTCAGTTGAGTTATGTTTTATTCCTTATGTATAACACTTACGATTTGACAAATTTTTTCGGTGTAGAAATAGAACTTGGTAAAAAATATTGACGAAAATAGAACCAATTTCCATTTTTTCGTCAATTTAAGTTTTATGAAAATGATTGATGTTAACTGTTTCCAAGGTTAATCTTTATCAATCTCAATCATGATTGTCAATATTTGATTTACATGTAAACGCTGACTTAAATAAAAAGATTTGTTTATAGGGATGAGTTATTGCTTTAAATGTCATTTTAGTGGTTTGCTCAAATTATATTGAAAAAAGTCGAAATATGTTTTATAAACCAAAGGGAAAGGGAAAGAAAGAAAAAAATATTGTGTGTGAAGGATAACAACATCAACTTAATAGTTTATAAATAAAGATAAAATCTTGAAATTATTTAAAAGGAATAATATAAAATTAAGTGCTATTTTAGAATCGTAAAAATATTTAGTTTTTTTGTATATAAAGAATATAAAAAATTCTACATGTTTAGAAAAAAGCATATACTAAAAAATAATGAAAATAAAATCCCTAACTATAAGTCTATTATGTATATAGAAAAAACTTCAAATAGATTTTCAGTTCAATATTTGATAAGAAACGAAAAAGCCAATAAATGTCTGCTATTTGAAAACTTAAAAAAAATAATTTTCAAAATATTTGTAAGAAACCAAAATCATCTACAACAACAAAAGGGAGGTTGCAATGATTCGGGAAACAAGTTTATTTTCTTATTCTAATTTGAAAAATATCAACTTTCAACTGATTTACATATTAATTATTAATATAAATTTTAATCATTGTGTTAACTTTTCATTATCAACAAATATTTTGCTTAACTCTTTAAATCAATACAATCAAAATCTGACACTAAATAATACACATTTTATAAATTATGATGAAAAAACTTATTATAATGATAACAATAAAAATTCTAATCAAAATGATTTCGAGAAGCGGTATAAAAGAAATTCATTAATAAAAACAGAAAGAACAATATCCAAATTATTTGAAGTAAATCCAATAATAACCAATAATAATTATGAGAGTACATGTCCTGAACAATGTTCGTGTCTAGGTGACTATTTTGAATGTAAAAAACTTAATTTAAAAAATTTACCAACATTTCCAAGTTGGATACGAGAATTGTAAGCATATTATTTCAATAACAACATTATATAGTTATTTTTCATTGATATAAAATATTTTTGCAGAGATTTAAGTGGCAATAAACTGGATGATACAATAACTGATTCAATTGATAATTTAAGTCATCTTACTAAACTGTGAGTGTTGCACTTTATAAGTATAGTTCATTTGGCCTATACTAATAACATTCTTTAGTGCATTAAAATAAAAAAATATTTAAAAAATTAAATTAACTTTTTATTTTTTTTTGCATTTTTAGTTCATTAAGGAAGAATCATTTACGGAAAATGCCTGTTTTCCAAAATTTATTTACATTAGAAGAACTCATTTTATCTAACAATAAAATACAAGCCATTACCACAGAGTCTATGTTATCGTTACCTAATTTAAGAATATTGGATTTGAGTCGAAATGAGATCAGCATTATTCTGCCAAATTCATTCCCAGTAAAAAATTCTTTGGAACAATTGTAATATTGAATAAATAAAACAACTTTTGTATATATATAAGTAAATTTCTGTTCTGTTTTTTTTAGAAATTTAAATTCAAATAAAATTGTCACATTAGATGTACATTCATTCAGTACCTTAACCTCACTAATTGAATTACAAATAAATCGTAATGGATTGGATAATTTACCTAATAATATATTTAAAAATTTGAAAAACTTAAAAAAATTGTAAGATATTTAATGAAATAATTAAAACATTTCTTATTATATACAATTTTTGTAAAAGTATTTATTTTTTTTTTAGATATTTAAACGATAATAACATAAATATAACATATTCTGTTTTTAAAGGGCTTGATAAACTAAAAGTAATTAAATTTAAATCAAATAAATTGAACAATTTATCTGACGGTGTATTTTATGCGTTGAAATCAATTGAAACAATGTAAGACTTTTTGGAATTTTATTCTAAATTCAATATTTTATTTATTTATTTATTCATTTTATCTCAAAAAGAGATGTATAGCATTTAGGGTATCGTCTTTTAAAATAGATATACAAACATTTGATAAAAAAATATTTTAAATTTATACATATTTTTTTTTACTTTATACTTATAATAAAATATATTGAAAAGGTTATTACACATTAATTTAATTTTATATTAATTTGCTAGATATTTCTAGAAGCGAATATTGATTGACTCTTAATATATCTATTGATCAAGCACTGTAATTTTAAAGTCAAATATATGTATATAGTAGAAATGTTATTAACAGTTGATATGAACATATTTTCGACGATTTATCTAATTGGCAGCTATTATACTAAATATATTATTTATTTAAAATTATTTAATTAAAAATTTATATATTTGCATATAATTTCAGTGAATTAGATTCAAATTTAATTCGCGTAGTGGGAAAACAAGGATTCTATAACATAGCAACATTGAATTCACTTAATTTATCAAACAATTCCATTGCGACAATTGATTTAGATATATTTGAATTTACACAAAATATAATATTTTTGGATTTATCGAAAAATCAAATCAGTGATATAAAACCTCAACATTTTAGTTGCCTAAAAAAATTGCAACAACTAAATTTATCAAGCAATAATTTATATTATTTGAATGAATTAATATTTCAGTGTACAATTAATTTGCAATCACTTGACCTAAGTAATAATAAATTATCTGCAGTAATTGAAGATAATATTGGTGGTACGTTCAAATTTTTAAAAAATTTGAAAACATTAAATTTGTATAATAATAACATAAGAATAATAAATCAAAAAGCATTTAATGGATTACAAAATTTACAAGAATTAAATTTAAACGGGAATAATATAAGTACAATTTATTATGACACTTTTGATATACTTAATAATATTAATAAATTAATTATAAAAACAGATAAATTTATATGTGATTGTAATATGCAAACATTTTATAAATGGCTAAAAAATTTTCTTAATAAATTTACACAAAATAATAACAAAATTGATATTAAATGCGATTATCCAACATATTTAAATGGTAAAAATATCATTTATTTAAAATTGAATCAATTAGTATGTAATGAATCAACAAAACCTCGTTTAATAAATGAACCGAACAATCAAGTAATAACTAAAGGTAAAAATGTAACATTTAAATGTGAAGCAGTTTCAATGTCCTCAGCAAAAAGTTATATAGAAATTTTATGGAGGAAAGATAATACCGATTTGCAATCGAATCAAACTTATATTGAAACCAAAATTGCGTTTGAGAATGATAAAATTTTTGCAACTGGTTATTTACATTTAATTAATGCATCGCATATACAACATTCGGGACGTTATCAATGTATAGTACGAAACAATTTTGGCACAATATACTCCCAAAAATTCAAAATAACAGTTTCATGTAAGTATAAATAAAATTTTCTTTATTATTATTTATTTTAATAAAAATATAATAAAAAATTAATGTGTTCATATATGGTTTTTTTCTTAAAAAGCTTTCCCGAATTTCTTGAAAATACCGTACAATGTTACTATAAATTCTGGTGATACAGCTCGTTTAGAGTGTAAAGCCATCGGCGAACCTAAACCAGAAATATCATGGCAAAAAGACGGAGGAAATGATTTTCCAGCTGCAAGAGAACGGCGAATGCACGTGGTGCAAGCTGAGGACGCGTTTTTTATTGTTAATGCAAAAGTCCTTGATATGGGTGTGTATACATGCACAGCCGATAATCCCGCGGGAATTATATCTGCAAACGCCACTGTAATTGTAAATGGTAAATTAAAACAATTTATGTTTTGAATTTTATTATATTTTATTTTAATTTTCGTTTGTTTTGAATTTTATAAACAGAACCACCATACCTTTTGCAAAATTTTCCTATAAGGAAAGAAATCATATTGGGGCATTCTTTTGTTGTAGAATGTTTATGTAATGGAACACCAAAACCAAATGTAGTATGGTATAAAGATGATAAGTTAATTAAGCCAACAAGTAGATATACATACACATCCAATAATCAGTTGTTGATTATTACATCATCAAAATTAAATGATTCGGGCTTATATAAATGTAAAGTTTATAATGAATTTGGAACTAAATATGGTGTAAATAATATTATTGTAAAGAATACTATAAATCATAACTCTGATAATATTATTAATATTGAAGAAATGATCGGTATTATTATGATAACAGTTATCTGTTGTGCAATCGGCACATCAGTAATATGGGTTGTTATTATTTATCAAGCTAAAAAGGCAATTCAGACAAATCCAGTTTCAACAAGTAATGAAAATTCAATAGCTACGAATAATAATTTACATAGCAACAGTAATATGAACAATACTAATAATAATATTAATAATATTAATCACTATAATAACAATCATTATAGTAATTATTGTAATAATAACAGAAATAATAATAGTAATAATAACAATAATAATAATAGCAACAGTATTAATAACAATGGAAGTAATGGCAATAATAATATAAATTGTAATAATATTAATAATAACGACAACAATAATAGAAATGATGTACCAATAACAATAGGTATTACGTCTTCTTCCAGCATTTTACAAAATGCAGATGATGAAATTTTAAATTGCTATGATGATGTACTTAATATCTCTAACAAATCAACATTAAACAATTATAATATTTCATGTCAAGCAAAATTGAATACTGATATTATAGATATTAATAAAAAAAAATATAAGTATTTTGATCCAGGATTTATGAAGCAACCCGAAAGACAAGAAAATCACGCTTTTTCACTTCAATTAAAAAACGATTCGCAAATTTCTATTTTTAATAATAGTGAAACATTAGATATTAATGAAATTCAATTGAATGAAAATGATAAAAATGATTCATTAGAATCAATTAGCAATGAATCAATTCCACTAAATGAATTAAATGTAAATTTTTTACGACAAAATAATTATAAAACCACTTATAAATTACAAAAATATTTAAAAAGAAAAAATTCAAATGAGTTTTATAGATTATCTAAAAGTCATGATACTATATACAATTGTGATAATAATAATTCATTTTTAGATAATATATCTCAAATACAACTAAATTGTATACAAATGAAATCAAATTCTATAAGTAAAGACTCCGGCACCGGAACGTTTGAAACCATAAATTCGTATGATAAAATAAAAATTAATCTTAATAAAAAAACCCTTAGTTCATATAGTAATAATAACAGTTTCAATAAATTTGATTCACAGTTTGAGGCAAAATCAAATTATTCTTTGGTACAACAAATAAAAGAGGATCAAAATGAGTCTCAACGAAAAAACAAAAATATTAAACTAAATTCTAATATTAAAAATTACAAAAAATTTGAATTAGAATCAAGTATTAATAACGACTTATTAAATCGATTTATTATAAATAATAATAAAGATATTAAATTTAAATCAATATCAAGTTCTTCGATTAACTTTGAAGAAAAAAACGTGATATATAAAAATGATTCAGTATATCCATCATCATTATCATTAAATTGCTCTAAAGATGATAGTATTATATCTAATTATAATTATAATATTTATGATGGAGTGTCTTCATTACCTTTAAAAAAAAATTCATGGAGGAAAAAAGTTAATCGTACAGAAAATATTGAGGAAAATCATTATAATAATACATTGTTAAAAAATTTGGATTTTAAACTAGAAACTACCAACATAGAAGTTGGAAATGATGATAATAAAAAAAATGGTATATTTAATATAAAAAATAAAAGTAATGTAAATAAACTTAAAGTGATGCCGGCATCATTATTATCATCAAACTCAATGCCGATATTGCCATCATCTTTATCACCATTATCAATTTCCACTTCGACTCATTTAAAACGAAGACAGCTTTTCTATAATTTAGGCAATAGTGATGAAAATTGTTCAAATTTAATTAATAATACCGTCCATAGGAATGGAGAAAATTTTAATAATGATAGGTGTAATAATAACAGAGTTAAAAAAGGAAGAAAATATAATTTTAGTAAAAAAAGATTGAGTAGTATTAATCATAAAAATAAAAATTATTATAATGATGATAATTTAAGCAATTATAATTTAAATGAAAATAATAATTTATTATCATTCCCATCATCATCAGAAAATTCTAAATTTAATGATGTTAATGATGACTTTAACTATTATAGTAAATATAATCGTAATATTGGTAACGATATTATCAATGATGATAATGAAAATAATATTAGTGAAAATTTAAATATAATATTAGAAAATTATCCGCCAAATGACTTAGACAAAAATAATGACAAATCATTATTATTACGTAAAAATAATTTTTTAATTCCTTTATTAAAAAATAAAAGATATGTAGAAAATAAGAGCAATAAACTAAAAAATGTAACAAAATCGTATATGAATAACTATAATTCAATAATGTTAATACCATCAACAACGACTGCAACAAATGTAGCAGCAACAGATTCTGCTGCAACATCGATAGAATCATCAATTACATTGTCACGAAATGGCAATCCAACATTCTTATCGTCATCTTCGTCTTCGTCATCATTACTTTCACCAACACAAGAAATTTCAATATAAATCTGAGCTATTTTTTTTTTCTTTTTACCAGTGTTTAAAATCATAAATAAAATTTTAATTTGAAAATTAATAATGAACTTTGTAATGTAAAAATCTGTATATGTAGTTATGAAAAATGTGGAAATGATATAATATTTTTATATTGGATAAGTATTTTTGTTTTTTTTTTTTACCAGAAAAATTAAAGATTTGTACTAAAATTTAATTTTTGTGTATTAATATTTTATTTTTAGGAATTGAACTAATTACAAGCGCTAATTATTTAGTTAAAAAAACAAGCATCATCAATTAATTAGAACGTTGTTTAATTGAAAATTGGAGTATGGGGTCGTTAAGAAATGAGTAGTTAAAATCAATGGCGAAAGTTTAAAAAATTTTCTAGCTCTCTCATTAAGTTCATTAATAAAATGATCATATATAATATTACCCAATAACAATGGCTTAGGTGTCGTAAAATGTTTCAATCAAATGAAAATGATTTTTAATATAAATTAAAATTACAGTAAATGTCTTATCTGAATGTTTTCACAGTCGATTTATATCTCGTTATATTTTAAATAAAATGCCAGGTCAGCAGCAATAATGTGAGGAAAATTAAATATTTTTAATTTTCTGAAATTTATACTCGTATATCGTTCATGATCGCTTATTATTTTAATTAATTTTTTAACCTTTAACTTTCTAGCTTTTTCTTTGATCTTTAAGTTTATTACTATCATGGTTATGATAGTTAAATTCATTTAGGAGGTGTACGCTTTCAAAAATTTTTAAATTTTTTACCTTTGGTGAACCTTAGTCGTTTAAGAACACAGTTTGGCTTAAAGTGATTGAACAAAAATTTTATGTCTCATAATAGACTATCATAATGTCACAAAATATGAAGCCATTATCTAAAGTCAAAATACGAAAAGCTCCAAAATTTTTTTTTCTCATCAGTTTAAAATTTGATGTGAGATTTCGATTCAAAATCAGATTCAAATTCAATCATAGATTTAATTATAAAGGGTTTAAGTTCTTGAATTTTAGTGTTAGCAGGCAAAATACCAAAGTGAGTAGAATTAGTAAAACTTTCGGGAACAATTTAATAAACTTTTAGTTACTTTACTTTAAAAAATTTTTTAGTGTTTTAGGAAGGGCTTTCCAAAAAGTATTACTAGCGGGTTGGGCCTGATAGCACCATGACCGAGAGCGAAAAGCAGCTGATGGCCTCAACGCGCTTTCCTGACTTGGAGGTTTTTCGGAATAACTTGAATGCGTTCATTGAACCAAGGGCACCTCGGCACAGGAGAGATGACTGGCAACCGTCTCGCACAATCTTCACGGAATGTGGGCTTTGTTTTCTTACAGGCTTTTTAAATGTCAAGGTGATGACGTGCTTTTGCAAAGGGGTTTTCAACATGTCGTTAGGGCGTTGTTGGAAATTTTTCGTTTAAAATTTGGAATGGAAGGTGGCTAAAGTGACGTCATTCCGAAGGCAGGTGCGCCACCAAGCAATCACCCAAGGTGTTTCCGTCCCATTAGCCTTACCTGTTTCTTAATGAAAGAAATTAAAAAGGATGCCTATCAATCAGGGAAATCTACTATACTCGTTCTGCTCACTGGACGTTCGGGAGGTAGCAGTTGGCTGCTTTCTTGATATTGAGGGTGTATTAGCCCCAGGATAGCACAGTGTCTATATGCGGTCCTTACTAGGCCCATCGTCACCTACACATCGATCGTATGGTGCGGCAAACCTCAGCAGGCGGGTGTGCGGCGCAAGCTGGAAAAGCTTTAGAAGTTGGCTTGCTTGGGAGTTACCGGGGCAATTCGAACGGCATTGGAGATATTGATCGGGTTGGACTGCATCTCTACATAGGGAAGGAAGCTCAGCTAATGACTGAATCACAGAGATTTTATTGAGAGCGACCCGAATCTGGGAATAACCATGTAGAATTCCTGTCTGCAACGGTACAATTTCGACAAAGGGTTCCGATTACCGATCGATGGACGTGGGGTCGGAGTGGCCCTATACTTGAATCGGGTTCAAGCATGTGGTACGCGGTCGGGTCCAAAAAGGAGTCGGGTGCTTGTTCGGGAGTATATGGTGTCCGCCCGGACACGCGAATTACGTTTTTGTTATTTTATCGTAATAAAAAAAATAAAAACAGAAAAATTCAAATTCTGTGTTTTAATTAACTTTATTCTTCGGAATAACAGTTGTTAATGACTCTAAGTTTAACTTAAGAATAATCTTATTGGCTTAATATTAATTTACTAAAATCAGTTGCTTGGAAGTACAAAACTGTTTGGTAAGCAGTAATTATTTTAAGTGTGTTATTTTTTTTTGGTCAGTAATTTAATATATTAATTTTTAGTTGAAAATAATTTTATGAGAAAATAATTACTGTTGATTATGAGCTTTTAGGTATTGTGGAATTTTAATAAGAAAAACAAAAAATAAGAATGTTATGAAATTTTATTTTGTGAGAAAGAATTTCATTATTTTAGCTTATGGAATATTTTATTAAACTTTATAAAAGAAAGACGACGGAAATGAAGTATCGTCTTTCAAATTGCCGTTATTTGAGGTAAATGATATAACTCGCGTATATATGTGAGCTTAGATCCATATTGCACAGTATTTTAGGCCAAAATACATGCAAGAGAGTCAGTTTGGGAACGGGGTATAAAAACCGTACCATTTATGTATTCTTTGACAGCAGGGCGGCATTGATAACGCTTCAGTCGGCCCAGGTTACATCCAGCCTAGTCTGGAGCTACCTTACTGCACTTGTTGAAGTGGCATCGGTAAACAGAATAACGCTTATTTGGGTGCCTAGCCACAGTGGACATGCGGGCAAAGAAGTTGTCGATTAGCTGCCGCGGAGGGGATCTAGGGCAGCCACTGCCTTTCTGTTGTTTGCCTTCTATCGCAGTGGAGGCAGGGCTTACCTGGCTGCTCGCGGCGGAATACGGCCTTCACCGACGGGACACGAAGAGGTGCCGTCATGCGAAGGTGTTCCTTCGTCATGCTCGGCGAAGTTCACATGTTCATGTGGATGAACAGAAGCCAAGTTCGCGCTATTGCTAATTTCTTTACGGTGCACTTCCCGGTGAGGTATCACCTGCATAAGCTAGAGAAATTGAGCTTCCCCCTATGCAGATTTCATAATCTCTTTCCTCAAAGAAATTGGAAATTATGAGGATTTTCGATTATTCAATTGCTACTTAGGTTATATGTACATATAAAAACAAGTTCGATAAATCCAAAAAGATGTCTGTAAAAATAGCATGTTCTAAAATCGCAGCTGTGCTTAAAGTTCTAAAAGAAATTTTAAGTTTTTTTATTAGGTTAGGTAAACATAGGGCTTTTTTATAACAAGGACAAAAATATAAATTTGAAGCGTAAAATAGAAAAATGTTTGAATTATCGAAAATCACTCTCGGTCAACACCGTTGATGCAAAAGTTTTTGTGTAAACGCAGCCATAAGACTTGTTAAGTATAATTTTTTTTTTATAAATTAGTATAAGTCCAAAATCTAAAATTTTCAGATAAAAAAAACCGAATTAAATTATATTTAGTTTCGTAAAATCTACCAATTCCTGCGGAAGATTAATGCTCTTAAACATTTTTTAAAGATTCAGCAATTGCTTTTGCTAAATTTTTAGGAATTTAAAATATTCCAAAAAAACTTATTGTCAAACAAAACGAGGACTTATTGTCATTTGGGTATTTAGAACTGATTATTTTTTTAAAAAGAAACCAAACTTGAGATACGGATCTGTACAGAGCCTAATTATTATTGTATGCAATTCGGCCGGTTAAAAGAAGGAAACAATCAATAAAAATGTGTAAGGTGATTGATTTGCTATTCTACCAGACGCGTGAATCATTATTTGTCACAAAAAGCGTTCATTATTCTACTAAACGAATTTTTGAAAACTGTAAATTTTTTGTCACATTTAGTCGCGTATATTTTCTTGTCGACAGAAATATGTTTAAAAGTTGCTGAAAAATAATATTTATAAAAAAATACAGATGTAGGTATAATTAGATATTTTAAAAGCAATATTGAATAATTTTATTAATTCTAGTGTAAAAGTGTCCAATCAGTAATTTCATATTTTAATCGAGTTAATTGAAAATTAATTTTTTTTCTTAAATTTTTTTCATTACTTTTACCTCTACTTTAACCAAAAAACCAAAAAAAGTTCGAAAACATCTTTCCCTCTAAGTTACTATTTTTTTCTTATTTAGACTACTTTTCTGTCATCAATTTGTTTAAAAACAATTTTCTAATTTAAACGTAAAAACTTTCGTATTTAGAAGAATACCAAAAAAATCTGCGCTGGCAAACAAAAATGTCTAGTAAAATGAGGCCAAATAACTTTTCCAATAATATGCAACTTTTATTTTAATATATTTATTTCTTGCACGCATGTTTTTGTGATTCATAAAAAAATTTAGTGATTAAATGAGTATACAAGTCACAATTAAAATAAGCAGTAACAAATAACATTATTGTAGTTGTGTATGTCGCCATAGTTCTTTTGATTTCACAATTTTGTAAGGGTTTTAGTTATGCTAATTTTGTCAATTGAATTTGTGACGGGGCTATGAACGGAATTGAGTTAAAATATTTTTACAGAACACGGAACATGAGTTTTGTTTACTATTTATCAAATAATATCATTTTTGAAAAAAATTGACTTATATTTCTTCGAATTTGCCCACCATAGATTTGTAGATATATTTTCCTCAGAACCCCTTCTTGGATATACATATTAAAAAATCCAAAATATAAAAAATTAGCGTTTTTCCAAACTTCGATTGCTTGGTATTCGAAAGTACATGAAATACAAAATCAAGTAATATATCGATTTAAGTCCTTTACTAGTACTTTCAGAAACTGTTCATTTGAAGCCTCTATATTTTTCAGAAAGGCACTTATAAGCAAAGACACTTAGATAAGTAGAAATTTCGTGGAAATTCGTTAAAATGCCTGTATTTCGGAAACTTTTGAGTTTTAACAACTAGTTCCGTACATAAACTTCACCAATTTTTGATACCCTAAACAATGATATACTCTTTGCTGATCCACCCTGTATAATAAAAAAATATAAATAAGAAAAAAGCATTTTACGTTCTTTTTTTGTGATATTTAAATTTATATTTTAAAATTCAAGTTATCGTGACTACATTCACCATATATCTATATTTATAC